CATTATTATTTTGTTTATTATCTTGATTAAATAACATTAAATAAAAAGTCTCTTTACTGTTTAAGAAATGTTATGAATTTAACTAGAACAGAGTCCTGTCTCTTTAAAAGAGGTCTTCTGAGATCAGGGTCAAAGCCAGGTGGAACGTTTATTCCACCCCTAGGTGACCACTACAGATGTGAAATGTGTTTCCATTGCAGTTTTGAGAAATACACCAATCTGAATACAGCCGTAAAAACCACCATATTCTAGCGCAAAAACCTTTTGTCAAAAAACTTGTTTTTTCGAAATTGGCGTGTTTCCATTTAAATACTTAATGTTCGCAATTCGAATTTGCACATTTTTATGGTCAATGGAAATGTGACTGAAGTTAAAACTTAATAACCGTGTCATGGATCTATGATGTCATCMATAAATTTTAGATTCACTAATTCATCTTCTATCAAAATGGTGGATTGGTTACTGATGATGACAGTTTGTTTAAGCATGTTTGACCTTCTATGAGTTGGGCGACATTGACAAAAAAAACTGTCACGATTAAACTGTGGCATTTAGCAGATAACATGATGATTATTGACGCTGTGGCTTTTTCTGTCTGTATTTCACATAATTAACCAGGTTCACAGGGTTAGCATCAACTGCTCAAAGCTTCCTTCCACCACTGGGCTCACATGGCTGCCTGATAGTGACAGTGTGTCGTACACAAAAACACGTCACCACATGACGCTAACTGCAATAACTAAAAAGTGGCAAAAACTAATTGTTGAGTTTTTCTAACGATTAATTGCACAAGATAGAAATGTTCCCAATGCTACTTCTAATATAAATAACTTTAATCAAACTATTTACCTGGTTTGAAGCTCAAGTTCAGGATCAGGAGCTGGAGGGTCTGTGGTTCTGGGTGAAACATGAGTGACCTCAGTCTTTTTGTCCTCCTCTCCTTTCTGAAAGAGATTATCCATAAATAAGTTTTTTTTTTAATTTCTCCACAAACACAGATTAAACATTTAGAGATTTGTAGGGTTTGGTTTTAAAGATCTGAGGATTCAAGTCCAACAACCTTCAGCTGGATGTAGAGCGCTGAGTTCCCGCTGGATTTTAGGCTCCTGTAGAGCTCCTCTGGAGTCAGAGGTTCAACTGTCAGAGGCACTAGTTTTCTGCTTGTAGACGTTACAAAAAGCTCAAAAGTTTCACGGTGAGCCAACAGGGGGAAGGTGGACCTCAGGAAGTCCAGGAA